CAATCTTTGTTTTATCTGTGAATGTTCTGTAAATTTTGCCTGTTGGAATCCTAAATATTTGTAAAACTAACCCTCTTCCACTTTTTCAATTTACTTACTTTATAATTATCTAAAATAAGGTGTAATTAACAAAATAACATTTTAATGTTTGAGATGCTACTTTCTAAAACTGCATATCAGTAAGAGCTGTGCCTCCAGTAACTGCTGCAGACATGCAAAGTATGTGATGGGCTAAATTATGCAAAGGTTTTATTTCCATTCTGGTAATTTTCTGTGAATTGTAAATGATCATGAATTACATGTCACTACTGGTTATATACATGAAAATAAGATAATTAATTGATTAAAGAATATTAATTGATATTTGAATTAATTTTACTATTTATAGATAAAACTTTAAAACTAACATATCTAAGAATATAATATTAATATACTAATTATAATAAATAATGTAAGTATGATTAATTATTTTTACTATTACATGTAATTAGAATAATGATAAAAAAAAGCATCAATATACTTACATTGTTAATATAGGTGCAATATAATCTAAATTGCCAATTAAAATTCCAATTTCACAAATACTCAACGTTACAAATAATGCTCGTGCCGGTTCATTTCTTGAAGAAACAGTAGCAAATGGATTGAGAAAAGGTATGATCTGATCCTGGGCAATTGCATGAAGTAAACGTGGAGCTCCTATGATGATAATGATAAAAAAAAACTTTCAAAACTAATTTATGATTTCCTTACCAAAATTATGTAATATAAATGAAATTATTCTCATTAAAAACATATCAAATGTAAAATGACATGGAATCAAAATCAATACAGTTTATTTAATTCAATTTACATATAAGTTCTTCTACTCAAAACTGGGAATACATTGATAAACACTGAACATATATAACCAATATCCAGCAAGAAGAAATTACAAAAAAAGGAAACATTTTCAACCATGTTTAATGGGCATCATCAGGTTAACTGACCTTCACAGTTTGAACACAGCTGTTAAAACAAACTATTCAAATAAAAACATTACTAAGAATAGATGATTGCAGTCAAAGTGTTAAAAGGGATGATGTGAGAGAGAGAGTGTTATAAGATTAAACTTCATAGATTGACTTCCATGTAAGGGAAGGCATCTACATATCTAAAGTTGATAGCTGCATTTTTTCTTGTGGCTTTGTGAATTTCTAATTATTCTAAATATTTAAGCCATTCTTTGTCAAGAAGTATGCTCAGACATTGGATTGGACAAGGCAAAAGACATTGTATTTAGCCCCTAACTAGGACTAGGGCAAAAAACAACTCTGTTGAATTGCCAAAAACACAATGTTTTTCCATGTCGATATACCAGATAAATCACCCAAAGAGCTGTGAATCATTCTTAATGAAATTACAAATATTGTTTGAGAAAGGCAGTTTGAACATCAAGAAAAGATATTATCAATTTTCCAAGCTTGGAATACATATGAACAAGACCCAGGTTTACAATATGAAGTGAACAGAAAAGCTGTAATTTTCTATTCACTTCATATAATCACACAAAACCTGTTGAAAAAATTTCTTAAGAAATTAAATTGGATATTACAACAAAAGTCAAAACTGAATAAAGAAGAAGCACCTGTTATGCCTATTAATTTTCTGGGACAACATTTTACCTCTGGATTACCTCATACGCACCATGACATGTGGTCCCATGTATGCTCCTGGTTCTACCAAACCACATCCAGAGCATGCAATGCCTAATATCAAAAGACTCATTGTCAATATAAAAGATGCTCACAAAGAATATTATAGATGGAAAGCTGCTTTAAAAATCCATTCTGTGAATAATGAGACCTAAGATAGTATGTTTTGGCACAATTTCCATAAAAGCAAGAAATGGTTGGCTGGCAAACATGTTATTGTATTGAAAGCTGATAAAAACAGAGCCCTCATTCTATTAAAGGAAGATAGATCTCTCATGCATCAATATATCAAGGATACAGACTGTGAACATTTATGTACACAAATTACAAGCTCAGGTCACACATTCTACACATACATCCTTGCCCAAGAAGTTGAAGTTGAAGAGAGTAGTTGTTTCCTCACCAGACACCTCTAAATTATTTGCTTTTGCAAAAACACATAAACCAATGCCTTCCCTTAGATTGTAGATAAAGCAAGAGCAACTATTAGAAAATGCTGTACACAACCTGACATTGGATCAAGAATTCCACCAATCTGATCAATATCTTACAGCAGGTAGAATTAACAGATAGAGTGCACATTATGGTGCTTGATTTTATTCCTTATATCCTTCAGTACAGTTGCAACCTTGCTCGTGTGCTTTCAGGGATCTTTAACTAAGAAAAATCAATGTACCTGCCCACCAAAAACAAGTCTTAGGACTTGCACACATAATGTGTTATACCTCTGCATTCCAATGTAATATCATCACGTACAAAAATGGGGAGTGCCCGTAGGCACTTCCCATTTTTTAAGTAAGATTTTTGTAAGGTTTTTGTATGTATGTGATGTTAGCCTTTCAGAGGACCTGTGTGAGTTAGTCATGTATCTGTTGGAAGAAAAACTCATACTTGATTCATACTGAACATTGTTGTATACAACCTGTTTGTTGTTTGGAGAACTGAACCATAGGTAGATGCTTTTTTACAATGCACAAATGATAACCTGTATGGACTAACCCTTAAATTAGATCAGATAAGTAATACCAGCTCACACTTCTTAGATATTAACATTTGTTTCAGCAAAAATCATGTAGAAATGGGCATCTATTACAAACCCAGCTATTTACCATTATTTATTCCAGTAAATGAACCGATCCTTTTTTCATATTAATTTGCCTCCTTCTGTGCACCTACAAGATAGACCTTTACACACCATACAAACTAGGAAGACACTATAAAGAAGCTAAAACATCTGGAGGACATAGCTATAAAGCATAGGTATAGAAGAGACCTGATTTGTAATTTAGTTCACACCTACTCCAACTAATACTCCCTACATAACAACTCCAACAAAAGATTCAATAGCTCAATCAAAGAGATTCCAATAGCAGTCAAACATACTCTACCACAGTGTTCCTGGGATTAGGATTGTATGACTGTAGTTTATATACCTTATACAAAGAAACTGCTGCCAATACAGGTACCAAGTTAGCCTACAAGTAAGTTCCCATAATGTATAAATTACTATGCAACAGAAAGGACAAGGCTGATGAATATAGGGCCTCAGAGGTGTACATTATTCCTGTGAGGGACAATAGGTCCAAACAGATATGGTGTACTACACTGGGTCCACTAAGCATTCCATACACAAAAAGTTACAGGAACATTGTTACAATATTTTAAATAAAAAACAAGCCACCAAGACTGGTGTGCAAGCTGGCTACCATAATGCCACATTAATCAAACAGTTCTTTCAAACCAACCATATCAGGGCTGTAGAAGCCTTAGAAATATACAAGGCAAACCTGACTGGCAATTGTATTAACTTTAAAAATGGAAAAAGTGTCTGTCTCATGAATGACAATGCTTTTATGAAAAATCAGGAAATATCAATATAAATATAAGACAAAATATTACAAAATAATAATAATTAATTTATATCTGTTTTAATTCTTAAATATCATTACTTGTCATTCATGCATTTAAAAAATATTTATAATTTTTGTTTTACATGTTTTTGTTCTAATTATTTTAAAAATTTTTGAAAAGTTGTACTGTGCATTCCTATTTGGAATATCGTTAGTGCCCTGATGCAGATCTTGTTTAAGATCAAAAATGTTCGTCAATTTTTACATTCATACTTTTGTTACTGGATGTTAAAGATTTTGTTCGTTGTCCTTAGTAATTTGTTCCAGTTACTGAGATGATGATAATTTTGTTCTCTCCTTTCTTAAAAACTATGTTGAGATTAATGAAATTTGTACAAATGAAATTAAAATAATATACTTTTTAAGTATATAATTTATTTTGATTCATAATCAAATATTTTTTANAGACTATTTACAAAAAATTAAATTTTTTTTTTGTAAATAGTCTAAAAACTTCAATTAATCTTTGCTGTTGTTATTTTTTCCTGAGCAATGTCTGGCTCACTTGCTAGTAGTAATATAAATTAACATGGTAAGCACAGCAAATAAAAACAAAATAAAACAATAAAATAGAATATAAACATGGCATAAGACCAAAGTACATATTGTGTGTTAATCCTTTTAATTTTTCCTATTGTTGAATGATATCTGTACTTATTGTCTCCAGATTGCTCAGTGCTATTTTAATATTGTAAAGTAGAACAACTATGCAATGTCTATACATTTCAACCACTTCCTGTTTTACAACTGCATTCTATATTGAAACTTGAAGTATCCATTTATCATTTCAAGGTATCCATTATCTACAAATGCATGACAAAAACATCCATGTCACTGTTACTTTTAGCTGTTATTCCACACAAAATTATGCAAATAGCTTTTAATGTCACCTCTCTTTTTTTGAAGCAGTTTTCTTTCATCAAAATAAACAAAAATTTTAAAAAAATATATATTTATATCACCATCCACAACAGATATAATAACAATGAATAAAATAATTAATCAAAATTCAGAAGAAATATGATCATTAAAATCAAGTGCAGTAGCTATAATAACTTAATCCTGTTAATGTGCTTACTTTGTGAGCCATTATATTGCTTTGATTTCTGCACATTTGTATTCATTGGTAGTAGTAAATATCAATATAAAAATGAATCTTTAAATGATTAAATAAATGTCAAATTATTAAAGTAACGATTCTTTTTACAAGAATAAAAGAAAATAGATATATTGATCTATTATAACCACATAGTAACCACTAAAATCCAGCAAAATCTCAATTTATTAAAATAAAATAAATGTTTTATTTACTGTATTCATATATATATTAAGTTTTTTATCTGTTGTTTGACTATTTTAAAATTATTATATTTAAGTAAATATTAAATGAATTTACCAATGATAGAATTTAAATCTTGGTCGCCAACTAGGAGAGCGTAATAAACTCTGGAGAGTACACGCAAGGTTAACAAACATGTAGCACATCAGGAAAAACCTAAAATTAAATAATTAAAAAAACATTTAATTGTAAATTTTAAAAAGTTTCTCAAAAATAATGCATATAATTCCTATTTTCATAAAAAGTTTAATTACTACAAGAATTTCCTTTCACAAGACAAAAGTCAAACCTAATAATTATTATTTCTATTGTAAACAAGAATTAACATAATATCCTGTCTATAATCTTCAAGAGTGTTTTGCATTGTCATTTGTTTGCACAAATGAAATGATATAATTTGTAAGGACATTTAATAATTAAGAATGTTTTAAAAATTCTGGGTAGTAACTACTCTACATATAGTTTAGAGAGCTATTTTGGATTATTCATGTTTCCTGTGCACATCTGTGCACTAAGGATAATTGGGAGCTTGGTGTATGTTATTGGCACAAACTTTATTTTAATTTTATGTTTTATTTGAGTAAAAACTGAAATAAATTTAATTAAATGCTTTAGCACTTAATACCAATTGGCATATAAAAATTATTTTGTATTAAAAGAAATCAGAAGAAAAGTTCAATTGTACAAACAAATTGTAAAATTTCAAATTAAGTAAATGTCTCAAAAACTGATATTTTATAACTAGTAGCCTGGGACGCCCCCTAGTGGGTGTTCTTTACAAATTTCCATGAGGCAAGGTTACTTTGACTTTTTTGTTCCTATCAATATGCTCTACAGCTCTGTTAAAGTCACAATGGTAAGATTTACCCTCTGAATGAAAAGGTGGCGACCCCCCAAAAACTGTAGCCCCCTGTGCGAACAATAAAGTCAAAGGAACCATACCCCTACTCGCGATCCTTCACGAGATATAAGCCCCTGAAATAATAAATTCCTATTACAAATATACTGAATTATTTATATTGTTATATTGACCAAATAATAATTTATGGGCCAAATGAATANGCCTAGAGCAGGACTCAAACCAGCAACTGCCACTTACTATATGGATGCATTGTAAGTGGAGGATCAGACCTATTTAATTTAGATATAACAATTCTTGGTTACCCTGATTAATCCAGCAATCATTTTGTTTAAAATAAATTTTTCTGACTGTTTCAATTGCAAGATAAAGTTGAAAAGAAAGACTAATACATTTAAATGCATATAGTAACAGTCAAAAAAATGACATATTTAAAGATAAAACTTAAAGTCTACTCAAGTATATGTAACATCCTTAAATGCAAATTCTAAAAATATTTTAAAAAGGAATAATTTTTAAGAAAAAGTAGTATGAATATTTTTTCTTAGAATTAACATCACATAGAGATTTTTAAAAAGGCAAATTTATTGAAACATGTTATTGATTGATCAAAACAACTTCTGTAAAAAAGAATTGAATTTTTTTCCAAATCATGTTAGATAAATTGTGTAAAGAAAAAATCTGTGTAAAAACAGAATTGGGTGTATTCTCAAATCTAGGAAAAAAATTAAATAATACATTTTAAAGCATTAGTATGAAACTTTGAAATCCAGAATTACACTGCCAATCTCCAATTTATAATCCTCCAACTCACAGCAACAAACTGGATGTCTTCTTTTTCTTGACCATTTCCCAACTACTTCAGGCCATGACCACTTTCTTTACGAAGAAGAGTTAGTCTTTCTACAGATGATTTTGGATAATATTGTTTATGCTTAGTAAGTGTTGTTCTTGTTTTCCTTTGGAGTTACTTGAGATATGTGTGTCCAGTATATAACTCCAAAAGAATAAATGAGTACAGGGACAACATAGGTATTAATAGCTTTAATAGTGTGTTTTTAGTACTGCGTGTAATCTGTTCTGGTATTCAGGTGTCAATCTTTGTTTTATCTGTGAATGTTCTGTAAATTTTGCCTGTTGGAATCCTAAATATTTGTAAAACTAACCCTCTTCCACTTTTTCAATTTACTTACTTTATAATTATCTAAAATAAGGTGTAATTAACAAAATAACATTTTAATGTTTGAGATGCTACTTTCTAAAACTGCATATCAGTAAGAGCTGTGCCTCCAGTAACTGCTGCAGACATGCAAAGTATGTGATGGGCTAAATTATGCAAAGGTTTTATTTCCATTCTGGTAATTTTCTGTGAATTGTAAATGATCATGAATTACATGTCACTACTGGTTATATACATGAAAATAAGATAATTAATTGATTAAAGAATATTAATTGATATTTGAATTAATTTTACTATTTATAGATAAAACTTTAAAACTAACATATCTAAGAATATAATATTAATATACTAATTATAATAAATAATGTAAGTATGATTAATTATTTTTACTATTACATGTAATTAGAATAATGATAAAAAAAAGCATCAATATACTTACATTGTTAATATAGGTGCAATATAATCTAAATTGCCAATTAAAATTCCAATTTCACAAATACTCAACGTTACAAATAATGCTCGTGCCGGTTCATTTCTTGAAGAAACAGTAGCAAATGGATTGAGAAAAGGTATGATCTGATCCTGGGCAATTGCATGAAGTAAACGTGGAGCTCCTATGATGATAATGATAAAAAAAAACTTTCAAAACTAATTTATGATTTCCTTACCAAAATTATGTAATATAAATGAAATTATTCTCATTAAAAACATATCAAATGTAAAATGACATGGAATCAAAATCAATACAGTTTATTTAATTCAATTTACATATAAGTTCTTCTACTCAAAACTGGGAATACATTGATAAACACTGAACATATATAACCAATATCCAGCAAGAAGAAATTACAAAAAAAGGAAACATTTTCAACCATGTTTAATGGGCATCATCAGGTTAACTGACCTTCACAGTTTGAACACAGCTGTTAAAACAAACTATTCAAATAAAAACATTACTAAGAATAGATGATTGCAGTCAAAGTGTTAAAAGGGATGATGTGAGAGAGAGAGTGTTATAAGATTAAACTTCATAGATTGACTTCCATGTAAGGGAAGGCATCTACATATCTAAAGTTGATAGCTGCATTTTTTCTTGTGGCTTTGTGAATTTCTAATTATTCTAAATATTTAAGCCATTCTTTGTCAAGAAGTATGCTCAGACATTGGATTGGACAAGGCAAAAGACATTGTATTTAGCCCCTAACTAGGACTAGGGCAAAAAACAACTCTGTTGAATTGCCAAAAACACAATGTTTTTCCATGTCGATATACCAGATAAATCACCCAAAGAGCTGTGAATCATTCTTAATGAAATTACAAATATTGTTTGAGAAAGGCAGTTTGAACATCAAGAAAAGATATTATCAATTTTCCAAGCTTGGAATACATATGAACAAGACCCAGGTTTACAATATGAAGTGAACAGAAAAGCTGTAATTTTCTATTCACTTCATATAATCACACAAAACCTGTTGAAAAAATTTCTTAAGAAATTAAATTGGATATTACAACAAAAGTCAAAACTGAATAAAGAAGAAGCACCTGTTATGCCTATTAATTTTCTGGGACAACATTTTACCTCTGGATTACCTCATACGCACCATGACATGTGGTCCCATGTATGCTCCTGGTTCTACCAAACCACATCCAGAGCATGCAATGCCTAATATCAAAAGACTCATTGTCAATATAAAAGATGCTCACAAAGAATATTATAGATGGAAAGCTGCTTTAAAAATCCATTCTGTGAATAATGAGACCTAAGATAGTATGTTTTGGCACAATTTCCATAAAAGCAAGAAATGGTTGGCTGGCAAACATGTTATTGTATTGAAAGCTGATAAAAACAGAGCCCTCATTCTATTAAAGGAAGATAGATCTCTCATGCATCAATATATCAAGGATACAGACTGTGAACATTTATGTACACAAATTACAAGCTCAGGTCACACATTCTACACATACATCCTTGCCCAAGAAGTTGAAGTTGAAGAGAGTAGTTGTTTCCTCACCAGACACCTCTAAATTATTTGCTTTTGCAAAAACACATAAACCAATGCCTTCCCTTAGATTGTAGATAAAGCAAGAGCAACTATTAGAAAATGCTGTACACAACCTGACATTGGATCAAGAATTCCACCAATCTGATCAATATCTTACAGCAGGTAGAATTAACAGATAGAGTGCACATTATGGTGCTTGATTTTATTCCTTATATCCTTCAGTACAGTTGCAACCTTGCTCGTGTGCTTTCAGGGATCTTTAACTAAGAAAAATCAATGTACCTGCCCACCAAAAACAAGTCTTAGGACTTGCACACATAATGTGTTATACCTCTGCATTCCAATGTAATATCATCACGTACAAAAATGGGGAGTGCCCGTAGGCACTTCCCATTTTTTAAGTAAGATTTTTGTAAGGTTTTTGTATGTATGTGATGTTAGCCTTTCAGAGGACCTGTGTGAGTTAGTCATGTATCTGTTGGAAGAAAAACTCATACTTGATTCATACTGAACATTGTTGTATACAACCTGTTTGTTGTTTGGAGAACTGAACCATAGGTAGATGCTTTTTTACAATGCACAAATGATAACCTGTATGGACTAACCCTTAAATTAGATCAGATAAGTAATACCAGCTCACACTTCTTAGATATTAACATTTGTTTCAGCAAAAATCATGTAGAAATGGGCATCTATTACAAACCCAGCTATTTACCATTATTTATTCCAGTAAATGAACCGATCCTTTTTTCATATTAATTTGCCTCCTTCTGTGCACCTACAAGATAGACCTTTACACACCATACAAACTAGGAAGACACTATAAAGAAGCTAAAACATCTGGAGGACATAGCTATAAAGCATAGGTATAGAAGAGACCTGATTTGTAATTTAGTTCACACCTACTCCAACTAATACTCCCTACATAACAACTCCAACAAAAGATTCAATAGCTCAATCAAAGAGATTCCAATAGCAGTCAAACATACTCTACCACAGTGTTCCTGGGATTAGGATTGTATGACTGTAGTTTATATACCTTATACAAAGAAACTGCTGCCAATACAGGTACCAAGTTAGCCTACAAGTAAGTTCCCATAATGTATAAATTACTATGCAACAGAAAGGACAAGGCTGATGAATATAGGGCCTCAGAGGTGTACATTATTCCTGTGAGGGACAATAGGTCCAAACAGATATGGTGTACTACACTGGGTCCACTAAGCATTCCATACACAAAAAGTTACAGGAACATTGTTACAATATTTTAAATAAAAAACAAGCCACCAAGACTGGTGTGCAAGCTGGCTACCATAATGCCACATTAATCAAACAGTTCTTTCAAACCAACCATATCAGGGCTGTAGAAACCTTAGAAATATACAAGGCAAACCTGACTGGCAATTGTATTAACTTTAAAAATGGAAAAAGTGTCTGTCTCATGAATGACAATGCTTTTATGAAAAATCAGGAAATATCAATATAAATATAAGACAAAATATTACAAAATAATAATAATTAATTTATATCTGTTTTAATTCTTAAATATCATTACTTGTCATTCATGCATTTAAAAAATATTTATAATTTTTGTTTTACATGTTTTTGTTCTAATTATTTTAAAAATTTTTGAAAAGTTGTACTGTGCATTCCTATTTGGAATATCGTTAGTGCCCTGATGCAGATCTTGTTTAAGATCAAAAATGTTCGTCAATTTTTACATTCATACTTTTGTTACTGGATGTTAAAGATTTTGTTCGTTGTCCTTAGTAATTTGTTCCAGTTACTGAGATGATGATAATTTTGTTCTCTCCTTTCTTAAAAACTATGTTGAGATTAATGAAATTTGTACAAATGAAATTAAAATAATATACTTTTTAAGTATATAATTTATTTTGATTCATAATCAAATATTTTTTAAAGTTAAAAATTTTTGAAGAAACCAATTCTTCTTCTTTCTGCCATGACCAATCATCAGAAAACAATAACAGTTATTTTTTTTCCACAGAGACAATCTTTTATTTTAAGCTATGCCTCTGCAGAATTATTTTAAAAAATAATACGTTTTTAACTGTTTTACATACTGAATATTTTTTCAAATATTTGTATTTTCCTTTTGACTTTACTCAGAACCACAGTTAACTTACAAAATTGTCTACAGCTGAAGCGAGATCTAAGACCCAAAATGCATTCTGCATAATGACTATTTAAAGAACTTAAGTTGTCTGTCTCCATAAAATATGTTCCTATATGACAAGTCCTTAGTTTATCAAATTATATAATTTAAGAAATACAATAATTAAAGGACTTCAAGAAATAATTAAAGCTTCACGAAAAACAATGTTATATTGATGTTCTGTAACTTAGTACTAAAATGTGTAACTTAACAGTGGTTACTGAAAGTAAACGAAAATATTTGTTTAGATTAACAATACTGTATCTGCTAGATTTAAAGTAAGGATGATGATTATTTTTTTGCCTGTTGAGCTGTCATAAAAATGCTCATAAATTAATTTCTATATGTGATAATTGTTCAATTAGCCAGTAGTATTAGTTTTAAATCTTAGCAGAAACTTATGTATCTAATTATGATATATTAATTGGAATTGATAAATGTGAAATTTGACTACAATTATTTAATTATACATCATATCTGAAAAGCTTATCAAATTTATACTTTACCAGTAAGTGATTGTATGCCAGCACCAATGGTTGACAAGAGAGATCCACAAACAATAACTAATGGATGAGGCCAAGCTAAATATGCAACAGCTAAACCTCCACCTATACTTTCCCCAAACCTGAAATCAATTCAAAATTAAACAACTTGAATGATTAAAAATTAAATTTAATATTCCGTAAAATTTTCATAAATTAATGAGTACTGCATAAAGCTTAACATAAATTAAAACAATACCGTACTTTCACAGATTGTTCAGCATATTGGTCTATCTCAGGAGACCATAAAATCAGATATTTCCATATGATAAAAACCAGCATGCTGGTTTAAGAGAGATTATAAATATCTCTCTAGAGGGCACATAAAAACAAGAACAAGTTTTCATTCTAAAACTGTGAAACTATCAGCATTGCATAAAAAACTGTGATTACATGTTTAATTTCTGCATTTTGTCTTCTTTCTAATTATGCAAAATATTCATGGATTGCCAAAAGTGCTTTCTTTTATCTGTATTTTATTGTAATTTGATCCGAAAATGCAAAAATAAACATAACAAATTTCAAAAACTCCATACCAATTATCTCAACTTACACCCATTAACATCCCCTTTGTGTGAAATTTGAGAGAAAGGTATTATTTTTAAAAGTAATGTGATTTGTCAGTGCAGCAGGCACTGACTAACTACTACTACTACAACTAATGTCAATAAGGTGCTAATTGTTTTATTGCAATGTAAAAATACTTTCTTCCTGATTTTAAGTTGATCAAATTACAATGTTATTATTTTATTGTACTGGGAAGAATGTTTTCTTTAATATTTATTTAACAACTAGTTTTGTTAGATCTGATTAATTTTAATTTTTGGTATCAGTTTAATTGGTATGCTGTTAAACTCCAGAGTTTCTAGTTTTCTGGTCTCTCCCGGTTATATGCAGCATGCCAGTCAATCTGCAAAAATAATGTATAAGAATTCAGATAATTAAATCAAATGATAATTACACACCATAAAAACCTTTAATATACTTAATCTTTAGACAAATATTTTCAATCTAGTAAGATCATCTTCAGATCTCTTTAATGTTCCAAAGTTGGAATGTAAAAGAGAACAATAATGTATTACAAAAAAAGGAGAGAAAAAATTTAAAACTTAAATATATATAAAATTAAAACTGATAAAAGCAAAACATTTGTAATGTTAAATAAGCAAACATACAAGATACTTCTAAACCAAAACATCAGGGATGCAGAATATGATCCAATTGATGAATGATACATTGACAAGTTACAAACATTTTAGATTTACAAAGACACAACTTCAAAGAGACTAAATATGGACAGGGCTGTGATCATCTTACCAGATACCCCAAAACAGTTCAATTAAGATTCATAAGCTGGACAATAACCTAAGACCTGTAGCAGATAAATCAAGGTCACCTTTATGCCTTTTAGAAAATTATATACATGATATGTATATAATTTTCTCACAGTCCATTTAAACAAATGTAAATTCATGGTGGCTAACTCTATAGAACTATCTGAGGTATTGCAACCAATCAATTTAACTAAAAACACCTACATAACCATTTTTGACTTTGCATCTTTATATCCATCTATAAAACAACAACCATACACCTGTGTTCTTAGGGACTGGTTATTACAGAAATACAGTGAGACTATACACCACCAGCAAATCTTAGAACATGCACATTTGTTGTGTTACTCCTCATTCTTCCAGTTAAACAATAGCAAATGCATTCAAAAGAAAAGAGTATCTTTCTGGGGACCTTTACAAAATAGTGATGCTCCTAATGAAAAAGAAAGTTTTACCATTGTTCCTTCCAATGATCATCACATATAAAAGATATGTTGATGACATTTTGATAATCTGGAACACTACATGTGACATCAAATTCTTGCAGCATATTTATGAGAATGACCTTCAATTAGACCAGGTAAATGATATAGTGTGTCATTTTTAGATCTCAACATTCATTTTAACAATGGCTGCACCTACACTAATATCTACTACAAATCAAGTCACACACTATTATTTATCCCAGCAAACTAGGCAACCCATTCATTTATAAAATAGCAGTATTCAGAGTCCTTACAAGTAGGGAATTTACTCGTAGTATCTATTTTGCTGATATATTTTGCTGATATAAGAACACTTAGAATACATTGCAACAACTCATGGTTACAAAAAAGGTCTGTTCATAGTCTAACCCATGTCTGCACAAACAGAAACATTGAAAGTACCACCACTAATGACAATGGATCAAGTAAAGAGAACCAAACTCACACTCAATCCTAAATAGTGTTGCCACCTTTTCAAAATCGCTGAGCCGGACAGCAGGTCAGGTTTGTTCAAACAGAAGTTTCTGACACATGCATAATATCATTTTACAATGCGAAGAATAACGTGCATCTAAATCAGTTACTGTTAGGGACTAGGGACTTGTGTAGAAGTAATGTAAGTAACCCTAAATTAAGAAAGAACAGGTACAGATGACTTAGCTCTATTGGATATTGGAGATTGTACGATTGTGAATGCAAAAAAAGAAAAAAAAAAAAAGATTGACAGGTTGCACGCCACACGTCAGTGTAAACAGACTAATGTATCAGAATTGCAGATGAGTTTCAGTGAGTGTGAGTTCTTTCGCTGTTAAAATTGTGTAAATTTGTAAAAATATTTGCAAGAACTTTGTTTCATCGTAATTTCACAATTTCTACGAAATTCCTGGACAAAATTAATAGTTCACTCGGACAGTGAGTCAATTCCCAGACTGTCTGGGTGAAAACCGGACGGGTGGTAACACTAATCCTAAATGCATCATATTTAACTATGACAACTATGAATACTTTAAAAGCAAAGAAATAGCTGAGAACAGAGAGGCCAAGTTTGAGTACAAATGTAATCCCACAATTTACAAATTACTCTGCAATGGATATGAGATAGATAACAGGAAACAGCACAGCCCTGGTGATATATGCTTCCAATAATGCTGTACTGTACATGCTAATCTCAAAAATGCTTCTCTCATCAAAAAAACCAGCAAATAGAGCATATTAGAGCCCTTGCAGCTCTTGAAATTCTTAAATTTGAAATGAGAAGAATATATATTAACTTTAAAGAAAAAAAGAACATATTATATGCCAGGCAATACTTTTATGATAGCTCATGCTCAGCTCTTACTGCACTAAGTGATGCGGTTAGTTATCAAGATTATTTGGGTGAAAACTAATTATCTTGTACTTCAAAAATTAATTTTTAAATTGTATATAACTTAAACTGTTATATAATTTTATATATAATTATGTTACAAAATTTTTTCTCCTTTTTGTAATAGCTCATTGCTCTATTACCCATACTTGATACTGACAAAACATTTACCGCTAATTGACAGCTGTTACTTACCAATGGTATTTGAGTGTACACTATTTCTCTTGTACTTTATATCATAATTTTTAAATTGTGAGCATAGTGCAATAATTTTATATATATTTAAGTTTCAAATCTTTCTTCTCCTTTTTGTAATACATTATTTTTTTTTTCTTTTACATTCCAATATTGGAATGATTAAAAAACCTGAAGATAATAATTTTTAGACAGAAACATGTCTAAAAATTAAGTATATTAAAGTTCTTTGCTGGTGATTAAAGATTTTTAAAGTGTGTAATTATCATTTATATATAACAAGTTTAATGTAGAAGTTGAACATAATTAAATCATATGTTAATGTAAAAATTTAATAGGCTAAAAAATTCAAAGAATGAAAATTTAATAAGATAAAACATAACAAACACATTCAAAATAACCTTGAAAAAGCAACAAAAATTTAATAACAAACGTTTTTGAATGTTTTTAATGACTTTCTTCTAGTAGAATACATAATGGAACGCCAAGACGATAGTTTGGATGATAATATTCTAGAATATAAATTCAAATTTTACCATCTGAATGTTAATATATTGTAAAATGAATGAATAAGTTTGAAAATATTGAGTTCAAAAAGTGATCGCACAGAAATGAAATGATTATTATTATCCAAACTACCACTGTGGGATTCCATTACATATTCTGCTGGAAGAAGGTTGTTAAAAATGTCCAAAAACGTTTTAGCTATTAAATTTTTGCTGCTTTTTCAAGGTTATTTGAGTGTTTTTGTTATCTTTAAATGGCAACTCTGAATTACTTTTAAGATAAAACATTTTTTGAGATTAAGTCTGTCTCATTATCAGATTGACAGCACAGGAGTCATTATTTATAAATAAACAAACTAAAACAGAAAGACCAGCTCGATGGGTATAAAAAAAAGGCAACTGCCTCAAATGGCAAAATGGTGGCAATATTTTAAAATTTTCCAGAGCGACCCCTGAAACTTATGGAATTATAGAATAGAAATAAAGCATTTTGTAATACATAATAATAATAATAATAATAATAAGTATTACAAAAAAAGGAGAGAAAAAATTTAAAACTTAAATATATATAAAATTAAAACTGATAAAAGCAAAACATTTGTAAAAATTTTCTTCGCAGCTTGCGTCCAAACAGCTTGACGTGTGGCATGTGATTGATATTTGTTGCTAAAGAAGTGTTTCAATACATTATTTTTTTTTTCTCTCTCTCTCNTTATAGAATAGAAATAAAGCATTTTGTAATACATAATAATAATAATAATAATAATAATAATAATAATAATTTGCAATTATAATTAAAAATGAACATACTTATCTCTAAGGAATAGATTGTCAAAAGAGGCACCAAAAAACAGGACACCAGACAGATCTATCAGTATTTAGGAAAATCTAAACTATTTAAATATATATTAATGATAACAATAGATATCAATTGATAAAGTTTTAAATAGAACACAAAACCACAAATTAGAATATAAAAGTCTTTGTTCTAATCTTTATTTTTGTTATTCTGGATTGATACTTAATAAAAGCCTTATAATAAAAATTAAAGTTCTTATGTTTTAGCAATTTTGTTTCCTTTTATATTTTCTGTTTAAAATTTTATTATAATAGATGACTATTTATACATTTTATACATAAAATGCAAAATAATTACACCATATTCATGTATTTTATAATAATTTAGATTTATATTCAAAAATACTTCATTATTACAGACTAATGTGTTGATATATTGTTAACAATTCCACAGTATTGCCTAAACTTTTCAATTAGTGGACCAGATACAATTTGACCTATTGACTGCTGATATGGCCCAAAAACCAGTTTCCTTCCATTAGTCACTCAGCAAAGTATTTGCAGTGAAACAAACTTCCAGCAGTAAAAATGAACTTTAACAGCTGTTACTTACCAATGGTATTTGAGTGTATGCTATTTCTCTTGTACTTTAAATCATAATTTTTAAATTGTGAGCATAGTGCAATAATTTTATATATATTTAAGTTTCAAATTTTTCTTCTCCTTTTTGTAGTACATCATTGTTTTTTTTTTTAACATTTCAATATTGGAATGATTCTTCAATTTCCACTGACAATTATTAATTTTTTTATGTTCATAAGATATTTTTGTGTCCTATAATGAAAATATATTTCATTTCTTTTCATGTTTCAAAGCATTGTATATTAGAGAGGTTGCGGCCAACGTTTTCAACGCAAAAACGTGTATGTCGGACATTCAGCGCCGCTTTCCTATAAGCCTAGAAGTTTGACAATGGTGTTTGGATAGTCAGTGGAATCATACTCGACGTCCCAAACACCATTGCCAAACTTCTAGGCTTACAGGAAAGTGGCGCTGAACGTCCGACGTACACGTTTTCGCGTTGAAAACGTCAGCCGCAACCTCTCTAATAAATATATTTTTACCAGTTAATGGCATTTAAGTTGATAATTACTGTGAACTAATTCTCTAAATTCTATCATAGTATTTTAAAAAACTGCTAACTTTTTACTTTTAAATATCTCACAAAGACTTATAATTGTATGAAGTAAAAAAGTTAAGACCTTTTAAAACTTCTCAAAAAAAAAAAAAAAGCAACCACAAGTATCTTTCTCAATCTTTTACTGATACTTTCTCGTGGTTGCTTTTTTCATAAAGTTTTAAAGCTTCTTTACCTTTTTAAAATATACAATCTTTTTACCCTATATAAATATACTGATTCCATTGTTTTAATTTTTTACAAATAATTTGTTGAAACAGAAACAAATTTTTAAAATTTAAAATTAATAATAATTTAAAATGAGTTTATTTCATAATTTAAAAACTATTAATTAAATATTGTATTATTTAAAAAGAAGGATACAGACAAAACTTGTTGTTAATTGAGCAGCAAGGGTACCAACTGGTATAGATTTCTGGGCATCAGCCAAATCACCCGATCTATTGGATCCAGCCATTATTCCTTAAAATACATAAGAAGATACAATAGTAAATTTTCTTTATCATTTATATCCTATAACATAAGTTTAGTGAACACACAACACATTTTTGGTAATTATGTAAAATTTTTTAAAAATTAAACATATTTTCTCCATTTATTTAATATTAATGATGTAAGAAATATACACCCTGTCAAAAAGATTGAAATAAATTCTATAATGAATCTAAGTTTAAAAATATTTATTCAAATATTGTGAAAATGTTACCAAACATACTAGATAACATTCTTAATGTAATCTATATATATATAAAACTAGTTGTACCCGGCCACACATTGCTGTGGCTTAAAATGTATCTATTATAAATATATAACACTCCCCACGGGAGGGAATTTTGAAAAATCCCTTCTTAGTGTACATTCTCTTGATGTACCCTATTAAAATGCAATCAAAAACGCAAAAACCGCATCTAAAATAGTATAAAAGAAACTGAGTTCTTCACGGTAAGCCTTAATTTTGTCCCTCTCCCCTGCAGGGGAGGAAATTTCAACATCTATATAATATACAAGTTCGAACACGTGCACTGTGTATCTCGCTGACCACGCAACTACACCGTGCGGTTACCTATCTCGTATACTTACACGTCTTGCCCTCGCCACCTGCTGACACCAAAAATATAATGCTTACCTAGATGATACTTTTTAATTTATATGAATGTTTAACAAAATAATATAGAGACTATGTCCACCCTGAAGGCCCGTTCTAAATATTGGTGAAAGAATTTTTGAAATCAGATGAGTAGTTTCTGAGATTTCCTCCTACATCCAAACTTACAAACTTTACCTGTTTATAATATTAGTATAGAAGTATAGATTACATGTCCTGATTGACTGATTCATTATTGCCCATAGCAAACTGCTGAACCTAAAGAGGTGAAATTTGGTACACAGTTAGGGTACATCATGAAAATGCACACTAAGAAGGGATTTTTCGAAATTCCCCCCGACAGTGGAGTGGGAGAGAATTAAGGCTTAACCTGAAGAATGGCTTCTACTGTACTATTTTAGATGCAATTTTTTGTTTTTGATAGCAATAACTTAATTTCCAAATGTACAATATTTACCAAATCATCCAAATCATTTGCCAGATCAATGCTCGGCTCATTTGCTAGCGCATTAATAAAGCAAAAATATGCTTTTTAATTTAAAAACAAAAAGTTTAATTTTATAAAACAATCAAAAATAACCTGTCTAAATAATAGTTCCATTCAAAGCACACACTCCTAGATTTTAAATGGGTCTTACCTGATTTAGATATTAATTTTTTCTGGAATGTATTGCATTCTAATGTATAAATTACATCACAATTGCTTTAAAATTAAATATCATTTCATAAACATTTTTTATTAAGTGGAAAGATGTAAAATATTAAATACTGAGGAAATTGTTGTGTTATGAATTGTGTTGTGTGTTTAAGATCAAAGCATGGGATCAAGATGTCTCAAGAATGGAATCTGTAGACTAAAAAGAAACCATCACATGGTAATAAATTTTTTAAAAGTTTCAGAGAATTACAAAATGGAAATAAGCTCTGTGCCCTGTTGCATAAAAATTACAAACTACAAAATGTGTAATACTTGTAGTTTATAACAAGTAATTGTAACTTGTTACTGATTATCAGTAATTTTATGCAATCAAAATTGCTTATGAGTAATAGCTTGTAACCTGTTACAAAACTTTTTATTCAACACATTTTGTTTGTAATTTGTAACCTGTAAAGCTTGTGACAATTACAAGCATTTTATTCAATAAGACATGCAGGCAAGAAAGTTTTGACTCCATAAGATAAATAGCACATTTTGAAAATTGCAAGCAATAGTTCAAAAGCATAGTGTCAAATCACTAAAGAATTTGTTGTAGAAAATCATATTCAAACTGTCTAGAAAATGATCCAAAAAGCTTCACATTTACAACATAAAATGAAACAGAAGCCATTACCATTAATTAGTCACAAACAAGTTAGATTGAACTTTGCTAAGAAGACATCAATGGAAAAAAGAGTGAAAATATATTCAACAAAAAATAATTTAACCTTAATGATCCCAATAGTTACACTTATTTCACAAATTGCTTAAAAAGATCATTCTACAGTGAGCCACATTCATGTGGCTTGCTGAGTGATGACATCATAACTTACTTTAACTCTTTCAATGTGCAATCTGCCTGTGATGTCATTACCTTGCTCCTAAAAGCTCCTCCCATTTCCCCATTCTTTGCAGAGGAACTTTATGATCACACTGTATAAAAGTGAGAAATGGGTGGAAAATCTGTTTTAGTCTGGGATGGACATATTGAAATTGTGTTTTTGTTCCTCAAAAATAAATTCTCAACATTACACACAAATTCTTTTCAAGCATTTACTTCCCCAAGGTGAAAAAATTAATGGAAGGAATTGTCATTTCAACAGGCTACTGCTGCAATCCACTACTCAATACAAGCAAACTATGGTATGGTTCCAGGTATACAACATCAAAACTCTTGAGTGGCCTGCACCTTCTCCTAATATTATCATCATTTGAAGTGCACGGACAATTTTTCCAAGGATTGTTTGTGCAGAAAGATGACAGTATCTCAATGTTGAGCTGCCGAAAGAAACCATTCAGAAAGCATGGGAGCAGAGTGACCAATCAAAAATGAAAATTCTTTTTTAATTCAATGGCAGAATAAGTTTTTGAGCTTGCAACTCAAAATGGGGACATACTCATTATTATGATATAAAATAGTTATAATGCTTTGTTACGTGTAAAATAAACACATGATTTTAGTGAAATTATTGGAACTATCAGTTTGGGAGCTTGTTTCTGATCATTTTGTAAAATTAAACTGGACTGCAATTTGAAAAAATTGTGGACCTATAAATTTCCATTGTTGTCAGTCTGTCTATCCTTCCTTAATCTCAAGAGTAGTGATAGATGAACATGGAGACCCGATATAGAAATCTTAGGGGCAGGAGGTTCAATTAACTATATACAAAACTTCTGGTCTAGACTGCAAGTCATGTGATTTAATTCAAAAATTTTCCCAAGAACAGAATTACATAGATGGCCAACATGATTCTGTTGTTATCAGGAAAAGTATAATGTACAATGGCATAATACTACTAATCTGAGGTGGAGAGCATTTATTTTAAATTAAATAAATAAATAAAATGATTAAAAATTGCAGCCTGGCATTGTGACGATGTCACAATAAATAAATGCTCATCTTTTTTTAAAATTAATACAGTAGAGCATCATTTATCTGAAACGTCGGTTATCCAAAGGAATTCCAGTCGACAAATTTAAATTTTTGCCAGTGCTGTGGCGCTGTAATCTTTGGCTATGTCTTCGGCTACTCAAATATTTTACGTTTTTAATACTAAATTAACTTCTGAAGTATAATTTTTTATTGTTTTTTTATTTTTCAATATATTTATTTTGTTTGTACAAAATAAAAAAAAAATTTTTAACGATA